GAAAAGGATATTCCCTGAAGGATATATATCAATCCGAATACAGGCTTGTTTAGTTCCCAATCTCGAATTCTGTAAATCTCAGAATAACTGAATTCCAAGTTGACCTCTCCCGATCTACCCTATGAATTATTCAATGGATTCCCGAGTTATCCATAGACAATACCTACATCGTAGGTATGTATAGGTACCCCGAAAAATTCAACTAACCTGACCAAAATTCGAAGTTATTTTTATAGAGCAATTCTTTAGCTCACACCAAAATGATTAAGAACCCGATTAACTTAAATTTACCAGAATAAAAGGTATATACTATTGACAAGTTGTGATTGAATGTCAATTGAAATTAACTGTGAACCAAGTAGCTATTATAAGGATGTTATATTAAGTAGAAACATATATGATCATTGTTCCCAAGTATATATAGACCGACAATTAGTTTCATAATGAAAAGTACTTACTTATTGTTTTCATTGGCTAAAATCTGTTTCGAAATGGGAATTCATGTTGAAATGAATAATATCTATCAATCAATCGGTAGCGTTTGTCTTAACACGACAGGAGTAGAAACAAATTATTTTCCACCCCTATTTTTCCTGGAAATATTCGTCGATTGACATACTCCAGCTTGCTGCTCTAATTTCGCTTATGACATTGATCCAAAACTACTCGCCTACGGCTTGTAGTTTTGATAACAATGTCATTCACTAAATTACTAGGCAACAAGCTGTCGTAACAATAATCACCGAATATTCCCAGCAAAATATTATCACTTGTGGTATTACATATGAATATACACGATGAGAAGTTTTTGAAAATTTTCCCTAGCCCCAATGGGGAGCACTGTACTCGTGTGTTTTTTAACAAAATCTTGCGGACTGGGTATTCTTGCAAGTCAAATCAACTAAATTTTCTCAAAAACCGATTTATCTCATGAAAATACACGATGAAAAGTTCATGAAATTTCTCCTTAGCCCCCCCTGGGGAGCACATTACTCGTTTTTTCATAAAATATTGCTGACTGGGTATTTTTGCCCACAAGGGGGCTAGTGAAAAATTTGAAAAATAATAATAGTGTATTTTTATGAGATAAATCGATAAACACTTGAGTGAAGTGCTTCCCAGGGGGGCTAGGGAAACATTTCGAAAACTTTTTGTCGTGTATTTTTTCGAGGTAAATCGTTTTATGGTAAAATAGAGTTGATTTGGCTCGCAAGATTTTATGGAAAAAAACACTAGTAAAGTGCTCCCCATCAGTGACACTAGAGAAAACTTCCAGGAACTTATCATCGTGGATTTTCATGAGATAAATCGATTTTTGATAAAATTGATTTGATTTGACTTGCGAAAATACCCAGTCCGCAAGATTTTATGAAAAAACACACGAGTCAAGTGCTCCCCAGGGGGGCTAGGGAAAAATTTCAAAAATTTTCAATCGTGTATCTTCATGAGATACATTGACTTTTTGATGAAATTGTGTCGATTAGACTTGCGAAAATACCCAGTCCACAAGTTTTCATGGAAAAACACACGAGTAAAGTGCTCCCCAGGGAGACTGGGGAAAAATTTCGAAAACTTTTTATCGTGTAGTACGATGAGCTGAATCCAGATATGTAATAAAAACAACCATTTGTTTGCTGAAAATAGCCAGTCCGCAGCATTTTTTTCCAGTCCGCAAATTATACACACTCTGTTTGGTCATGACTACTAGATTTTGATTAGGATTGAAAAGAAGTGCTTTCATAGTGACAATAGGTAGGTATTTCAGTTCCACAGAACTAAAAATGATTGGAATGTATTGCTATAGTGGTGAAAACAATTTAATATACACCTTATTGGTAGTACAGAAGTTTGTACCCCTAGGCTGAAACCTCTATAATCTTGATCCCTGATGGGTAATACTGATTTTCTTCACTATACCTTGGTGTATGAATAACTATTATTCTTTGATTTTGGGTTTATCAATATATAAGGATATTTATATTCTTCGAGCAAAAAAAAGTATCACAAAAATCGCTATGGCCCAATTTTGATGGAAAATTTAGGAAAAATATTCATCAAAATCTCGATTTCTTGGGCTATTCCTTGAACCGTGAAATATCGTACATGTGGTCCGAAAGTAAACACGTGATTTATCTGGTGGCTACGCAGTAAAAATGCGGAAAAGGTAATAATGATACTGGACCTCGCCAAAGTAAATCAAGTTTTTTACGTCGAAACCAAAGGAAAATAAAGGAGTGAACTTCATAAAGGATATTTTATGTATTATTGGCGAGTTCATTCTTAGGGTCAATGAACATTATCTCTGATGAATAAACGACAGTATAAAACTGAATATGATGTGTTCATGAGGTTGGACTGAGGCTTATTGAAAAAAAAAATAATAGGCAGATTTTGGCATACCATAACTCTATTTACAAGGGCGTCGATAAATGGAAGTAATGGGGGTATTATCACCCTCAAGATCATAAAGGCATCGCTGCTACAGGACAAGACCTGCTGACCCTGGCTCATATGAATCAAAAATAGTTATTTTTCGGCAATTGTCCGGCACTTCCCGGACGCTTTTTCTTTGAGAAAGTAGCATTTTTCCGAACAACACGGGATCTTGCTGGTACATCCCACTAAGGTCCTACAAATGTCCCAATGTTTCAGACTTAGGTGTACGATATCCCAGAGATTTTTCTTTTGGGACATCCATCAGATGTTTTCATTGGATGTTCTAGAAACATCCCATTTGATCTTTTTTTATAAACAATATCATGGTTCCATATTCGCTAATGATGATTGACATGATTGAATAGTTCAAACAATTGTGACATATGAAACATTGAAGAGTTGGTAAAAAATGGAAATCAAAACTGTATTCGTTCTCATATACTTATACCTATACCAAAGCCGGCTAATTTCATCGATAACAAATTGAAATAATTATACTAAATATTCCTCAATAGGATTACCAAAGTACCTGTTTAACATCATGAACCATGGTAATAAACGACAAAATATATCTCTCCAGCATATCTATTGCTGAAATTATTTGTTATACCAGCCGATAGATGGCGGTACAAATACGTTGCTAAGAGTTACTAACAGCCGTCGGCCCAGCGCCAACAAATATGAGCCTCAAACAACTACTATCATCTTCCATTAGTTATTGGACCGCACCGACCTTATATTCTCGGATTCGGATTGTTACTTTATATCTGGAAATAGGTCGCCATTTTCAGGATTTTAAATTGAAAATAATTCATACAGTGTCATCCATTACTGTCATCAAACAAAGAACATCCTAGAAGTTTCTTTTTCAAGATGTTCAATATCAAGTACCCTGAATGTCTCTGGTACATCCCGTATCATCCCACAAACATTCTGATGGGATGTTAATAAGTCATCGCAAATGCTGACAAGGGTGTTGCCAGCAACATCCCAAGAATGTCCCAAAAGGAAAATACGGATTTTCCAGAGATGTTCCTATCATCCCATATGGATGTTTCTACGACGTCTTACAAATGTTATTGTGTTATTAGGGCCTAGTCCGGGCAGTACGTACTTCCCGGACTAGGTCGGGAAGTATCACATCGTTGTTGTCAGTGTAACTATGAAAATCTTGGTAGATATACAGTGTGACCCACCTCTAATGGAAACCCCCCTGTATCTCACGTAATCGTTGGGTAAGGATCCTGAAATTTTCTGGAGCGGGAGATATACCAAAAATGCACTCTATGACCAAGTGGGGTCATCTTCAGTGATATACACTGCTTGCCAACAGCCATGGAACTACCCTAATTTCCGGAAAATGATATTAGGCGTCAAAATAGGTTGAAAATCACTTCGGATTCGGAATCAGGATGCCCAATTCACTGACTATTCATAGTTTTCCTGGAAAATGTTCAGTTCGAAAAATCAAATCTTGTCTCACTGCTCATGGAAGTACCCCCGAATCTCACGTAATTATTGAGGAAGGGTTCTGAAATTTGCAGGAGAAAGGGAAAGTCCAAAGACAAGGACAAAATTGAAAATTTTCATCCTGTATTTATACAGAGGCGAATTTCCGAAAACGTCTCGAGTTAATAGTCTAATATAAATAATGGATATCGAGAAGGCCGTCTCTGAATATACTGAATTGAATGGGCTTTAGTCACTATAATATATTTTTTTTACTGAAATGAGATTTTGTCCTATTTTCTTATCATCCTGTAAATTCCAAAAAAGTGATTTTTTCGTCTTTCATTGTCCTCCACAGAACACGAGAATAGTTCTTCCTAATAGTCAGGTCAAGTGGAGTTCCAGAGAAAAAGTTTAAGAAATGCAAGACTTTCGAAAAAAAAATCGAATTTTAGTTCCAATGGTCAATTAAGGATGAATCACGAAAACGTCCCGAAATAAGGTCCCACTGTATCATAATATGACTGACTTTTGATCAGGATAAAATTTCTCGAGTACTGGCAGCATTGGAAATGTAGACCATAGAGTAATGGTACCACTTTACACCCTGTGTGAGTTTTGTTCTGCGGACTTTTTCAGTAGTCGATGAAACATCACATCTGATTTCGAAAACCGCATGAAGATTGGTCAATTATTTAAAAAAATGCAGGTCTTCGAAATAGAGTCAAATTATGAGTGGTCCATCTGGTGTGTTGAGAACTGTATATTGCATTGGAATGGCGAAATAGTAGCACGTGGAGTGGAATTTTGAATGATCACCCATTATTGTAACTGAATATGTAGCAAGGTGACACATTATAAAATATCACCCCTCATAGCTTTTGTATTTTTCAGGAGGTATTTTTATGTAGGTAGTGTGTTAAAAAAGAAACTGTTATTTTCGAACTAAGAATTTATTACTTAAAAATACATATTCTTCCCAAAGTATCCTATATAAACATAATAATATTAATAATAATAATAATAATAAGTAATAGTAATAATGAGAAACAAATAATGGCAAAAAATGTAATGAACAGCAGCAATATGTAAACGCTCGAACAACAACAAAATCACTAGAGGTCCATGTCGAATTCGTCCTCGTCGTCTGATCCATTGAAAAGCCGGTCCATCGCTATATACCGCCTGATATCATCATGATCGTAATACTGCATGGCGATGAGAGGATCGTCCAGGTCCAGTTCGAACTCGTCTGTGTCACCAGTATCACCGTCCGAGTCCACATCGATTTCCTCGTCGTTGATCCAGAAGAGGATCTGCTGGAGCACATCGGCTTCAGAGATATTTCCTGCAAGAAATATGAGTGCAGGGTTTCAACGAATTCGTCACCAATGTTCAGGGTAGAGTGCCTTGACGCTTGTCATGTTGTTGACATTTTTGCAATTTGTTACCAAACAAGGAGCAATACATAATCGGAAATATTTTCAATGGGGAAGTTTCCTTCAGATGAATTTTCATGAAATAAGTTCGAAACTCTCCAGTTTTATGTCCACGCTGTACAGAATGGCGACCGGTAGAGTCCAAGTCGTTTTCATTCTCAAATTAAAGCAATTTCTAATTTTCGGGGCGGCAGACTGTGACGTATATTCTGAATCTAGTCTGAAAATAGCTGATGGTCAAGAAAAAGAGCTAGCGAATAGCTAACGAATGAAAAACGAACAAAAAAAAATAGAAGAAGTAAAACTGTAAACAAAAACATACATAACCACAAATGCACTCGGAGCACGAACGCAGAAGGTAGTTGGCTTCATTCGAACAGGTTATGGTTTTGTTATTTATGCATTGAAATATCTCCAATAGAGCTCAATCCTAAACGAAAATATCATTGAGTCAATGAATCAATATCGGCTAAATTCAATTTCAATGATACTATCCTTCCTAATTTACTGTCATCGGTCAGAACAGAATGAAGCCGACACCCATATGGCTCCTTCCTCTTGTTGTGCCTGTCAGTATTTTGAGTGGTGTGGACGGACTCGAATTATAAGGCGCTGTTGCAAGATATAATCTGCAACATTTCTAGAAGATAGATCGGTTTTATCAAGGAACGAATTCTTTAGCAAAAAAATGACTGACATGGTATGAATAACATAATTGTAATATAACGATAGTGAAAATACTATCACAAAATATCATAATTTATCTTCATTAGTAATCAACTTCATTCAGCCAATGAGAGATATATGGAGATGTCGGCAACGTCGTACTGGCACAGAGAATCGTATTGCAACTCTGTGTGAATGTGGATTTTCAGAAAGTACGTCATAGGAATGGTGGAGGAGCCAAGTTCCTCTTTTATATATTTTCTTCTGAAGTAAAATTTGATTTTACAAAAAAAAAACGTCAATTAATTTTTCACAAACTTCATAGTGAGATAAGATCCTAAATATAGGTAACTTCCCCATTATCACAACTGACGTTTTAAATCTGAGAATGATGACAATTCGGAAATATCAGGGTCCCCACAATAATTTAAAGGGCGTGAAATGAAATGTTCCAGGCATTTTAGTTCAGGGTAGACACCAATGACACAGATCATCCAATAGGCAAGTGAACTAATTTTTTTAATTCGCGATAGAAAATAAGTGTACACCACCTATCGAAGTGTTTGAATGCTGTCAAAGGCAGGGCCGGATTCAAAACAGCGCGTTCTGAAATGGCGCTTATTTACGTTGTAATTTCAAATGTTTGAATGTTTTCACATTTCAAACATGTCTCGTTAGCCATTATACCTATCTATCACATATACGTATTAATAATCAATACGGATAATCTCTATCTGTTTCCATAGCGAAACATGAAGCCGATTTTTGAAGACAAATGACTATCCATAAGGAATAGTTTTGAAACGATCAGACACATACTGCTTTGATTGAAAGGCTAGTAAACGTCATTGTCCACCGAAACGCATGTCTTTGATGACTACTATAATAGCGCATGGCGCATGCGTATCATGCCACCAAATCCTTATGGATATTCATTCGTTTCATATTTTTGGCTTCATCCTGGCACCCGTTATGATCCGTATTGTTTATTAATACGTATATGATCTATCAGTGATTGATTATCCAACCCGTCAAGTGAGCCTAGGACAAATAACTCTTTGGGAGCTTGACACAATTCGTTCCAACATTCATTGGATTGCAATCATCCATCGTTTTATAAATTGATTTTAATCATTTGAAAAAAGAACAGAATCCTGATCATGATGGATCAGGAAACAGAAATGAGACGCGACGCGGTTATATGAGGATGCGGGAATGATATTGAGGGAGTATACACATTTTCAAAAACAAACTCGTTGAATAAAACGTTTTTTTTTTGTTCATGCACGGGGCCCCTAGTCGGTGTGGGGCCCCTAGGCAGTTAGCTAGTCCGCCTTATGGACAATCCGGCCCTGGTCAAAGCGGTCTGTTTACTTTGTTCTCATTGTTTCACATCTAATTATTGAACTGTTTAGTCAAAATGGTCAATCAATCTTCTTCATTTTTAATATGCCATCGAAATACTTCTAGCATTTTTGTGAAAAGTGCAAGCATGTTTCTTCAGTGTAGATGGAAATGGAATGTGTGGAATCAACAATACATTTTTCTCCGTGTATAGGGAGATACTCAAAATAACGAATTTTGACTTTTAAGCCATTGAACCTATGTGCATGAACATCAAAGAGAATTTTTTTTAATTATATTCAACAAAAAATAGAACAACCTTTATATCATAACAATATACCCATATCAACATTACTCTCTGAAACTCAGCACTAATAATAAATCTAGAGCAGACTATTTTGTGACTGAATATATTTTGTCAGTGTCAAATCTGTGAAAAAAAAGTTAGCTACAAATATTCCAACTTGACATTTCAAAGGTATGTAAAAATTTCGTCTAGTGACGTTAATGTTTGAGGGCTTGCATTTGTTAATTAAAAGTGTGGTCAAAATATTGAAAATATCAAATAACCTCATAAAGACATTACAAAATGACATAATAACAACATAATCACATTACAACATGTTAGAGTCAATGTAAAGCAGTATTCAAGCTTTTTTGGTGATGAAACTCAAATAACAACATTTTTAACAGAACCCTAAACCCAGAACCTACCAATTACATGTGTATTTTTTTCTCAATAATCATTCAAAAAATGTAGATTGTAAGTTAGTGAGCAAATAATGATAAAACTAAGTGCATTTGGTGGGAGTCATGAAATTATTTTTTATTCCTCATCAACTGTGTAATGTCAGGCTTGATATTTTGTGTTTGTAGCTGTATATGCTGAAAATCCCATTCCACAAAAAAGTACCTTATTGGGAATGGTAGAAAAAATCTCAAAGCCTGTATTGGAAGATGTGAATTTTCATCACAAACCCTGCAGCAAAATTTAATCAAATGTCATTTCTAAAAAAACAGATCATCTGATTTGACCCAGGATTTGACATATTCTCAGGTTCCTACAATTTGGATGAAAAAGGGTTTGGAATCCATGAGATTATTTTCAGTTTCATTTTCTTCCTTCAGGAAAGTAAGATTCAAAAGTCACTTGCAGATCATTCAGATATTACACCAATTCAAAAAATGTTTCTTTTTGGAATATTTCTGTATCATTGAGATTGAAGTGACTGAAGTAGTCACTTAGCTTTAGCAGACTGCACTTTGAGTAATGGTGATCTAGAGAAATTCCCATTTATTAGGTGAAGAAAATATATCTATATACACCAAAATTCTCTGGCAATGATACCAGCACTCTACTGTTTCATTATAGTACAATATCAAGATCAAATAACTCACCAAAATGCCTATGTCTTCTGGGTTGTGGAGGTCCTACATCCATTACTTTTCCATTGGGTAATGCATGCAAGTAGACACATGTATTTCCAAAAGGGCATTTGCCCTTCCCCTTTCTGTAGTATTTGCAGTCTAGTTTCTTCATCCTCTGCTTATGGAAATCTATGAACCTATCTTTTTCATCTTTAGTTTCCATCCAAACATTAGAAGGGTATACAAAATCTGAAAATTTTAAATCATTAATTGAGCTAGAGGAAGATGGAGCATGAATAAAGGATTAAACAAGAATGAGCTTCACAAGATTAGTTTTTATTATTGTCCCTCATACAATTTGAATCTTCAAGTAGTTGTTATTACTCACCTGAGGCAATTCTACATTCAGGACAAGCTTTAGAGACATCTAAATCAAATTCTTTGCTTTGCCTCCATTTCCTAATACATGTAAAACAAAAACAATGATTGCAGTTTGGTAAGATGCCAAATTTTTGTTCCATTCTAGAAATTAAAATAATAAGTAATTGCAGTCTACTTTCTAAAATCTACTCACTTCACAGTTTTTTTCAGAATGGTATCAAAGCAAATTCCACATGTTTTATCTCCTGATTCAGCAATTTTTACCAGAGATATAGCCTCTTCTATAGTGGAGGTACTGGGTCCATAAATATTTTGCTTATTTGAGGCTGAGACGGAGTCAAGATAATTTGTTGGAGATAAAGCACAAGCACCATCTTGTTGAGTAGGTTCTGCTGCCTAGAAAAAAAACCCTATGCATGTTTGTTGCTCTTCACAGAAGCATACCCCACAAATAGACTGATAGTGTAAGTTATACTAACCTTAACATTTACCTGATTTTCTTTGACCTTTTCTGGTTTCGAATGGAGATTCCAACATCTTGTTCCAAATCTACACATCCCTTGCAAATTGAATTTACACACAGTCCTGTCTGTTTTCATATTATACTTTCCTATATTCATCTTGATAGATTAGAGTTCAGTGAACACCTACTAATCACTACTAGGAATTTATAATAGTTTGCAAATATGTATGAGATTAAGAAATCTTAGATGAAAATATGAAAGGGACAGCTGTTAGCACTGCTGACAGCTTATGTGACACTATGTTTTATTGTTTCATGGAGACAGTTGTAGTTGCTAATACCCACAGGGGACCTAAAAAAATATTATTAACTGGTAAACTGCATTTATTCATTGAATTAATTTTTAAGCAAGGAAAATAAGTTAATGTTTAGATCTCCTTGAGATCAATGATTAATCAATCATAGATTGGTTTCTTTATCAGTTGATAAGCCTGTAGTAAAAATTCACTGATCATTAGGATTATGATGAAGGTATCACGGCAATATTAAATAATTTCTACCGGAACCAAAAACAATGTTGAGCATTTAAACAACTATGAACTAATAAGAAACTGGTGGCTATTACATATCAATAAATGGAGCAATAATATAATGATCAAATTTCAGATTAACTATGTAGAATGTTGACATAGTAAGTTGAAGCAGATGTTGAAGAAGCATTGTTGAAGTGTGATAGTGAGGTTAGCTCACCTTATCATAAACAATGGGTCACTGTGGGCTCACTTCGAAGCAGAAGGTCTTCAAAATCGTCGACACACCTTGAAATTCAGACAGAATAGGCAGGTTTCGGAAAGACTTTTTTCTGCTTTAGGAAACGAACAAAAAGAAGCCTCCGAGTGCCTCTCTACAAAAACTGCAAACAGCTGCTGCAAAACTGCGAAAGTACAATTTGTGTTATCTGTGGAAAGTACGAATAGTACGAAACTGTAAACATAATTTGTAAAAGTTGATTAGATGAAAGCAAAAGAAAAAGCAAAACACCCGGTAATTTTTTTTTGACATTGACATGACATACTGACATTACTGACATAACTGACGTTGACGATAGATCCCATGGAAATACGTCGACCGATTCACAAACTTGTCACAAAACGATGTTCCTCGTGAAAGTCGTAAACGAAATAGGCCGAATTGACCAAATTGACCGACACGTGACCAATCAACCCCGTTTTTAAGATGTTCCACTTCTCTATAACATCAATTATGTTGAAAGCCAGAATAATGGATGCAGTGCGCGAAACTCTCGCGAAGCGTTCGTTTTTTGTCTCAATCATGAAATATTCATACGAATACAACTCGTGATGCTGTTTTCCCTCTTTTCCCTGGAAATATTCGTCAATTGACATACTCCAGCTCGCTGCTTTTTAATTCTGCTCATGACATTGATTCAAAACTTCTCGCCCAGACGGCTCGAAAGTTTTGGTATGGTTACGATGTTATTCGCGAAATTATATTAGGCAACAATAAGTTGTCATAACAATCGCCAAATATTTGCGGCAAAATATCATCACTTGTGAACAAACTAGGTACATTCACCTACTTCCCTATCTAATTGATCCTATCTATACAAACGTTATTCTTTTTCATTAATCACATTACTTCAATTCCAAGCAGAGATAAGTTACAACTTATCTCTGATTCCAAGTAATAAAATGTTCAAAATCAAACTGAATACGTTGCATTCTCAATCATGAATACATTTTCATCAGCATTTATGATGAGAACAACTTTCATTATATCACTGGGAAAATTGAATTTACAGTGAATATTATATAACACAATTAATTGCTTCCTTTAGACGTATTACGAAATTACTACCCGAGGTTCGTCGGTGCGCTATTCTGAGAAATCTGAGCAACCCTGTCGATTTAATTTTTCAAGTTCATTACCGGCTTGTACTCGTGTCGAAGTATTCTTGATGTGCATCACAAAATAGTCTTCTTTAGGTACCTGTATGAATATTCATAGAATTTTCACGCGACATGGTGCTTTCATTCTTCACGCAACACAGTTTGTGTTTGAAATAAACATGTTAAAAATTTGTGAATCTGCATACATGTGAGAGCATTTGCAGAACTAAATTGTTCTACATGCTATATATATATATATACAGGGTGGTCCACAATGGATGGCCTATTAGAAGTATCTGGAGAACGAAAAGATAGATCATTCTGAAAATTGGAATGCTTTGATAATTGAACATTTCCTATCCCTCTAAAATATTTTCATCGACACAGTGTTGCCACTTCTATCAGAAACAACTAGCAACTTCGTTATTTAAAATAGAGCACCCTGTATTTTATTGCATTTTCAGATTCTTCCTGATCAGCTGATTTCATCGATGTATCACACTTTGGGTCTATCAGGAATGAATACAGAGATATAGGGTGTTCAAAATCGAGATTTTTCAATTTTAGGATTTTTTTGTGTCGAAACTATTCATCATAGATCAAAATGGCTTACATGTCCCTATCTTAACTTTCGATTCACTATCTACTGACATTCGATTGGAACAGATACAGGGTGATCAGAATTTTGAATCTTGAAGCACCCTGTATTTTTTCCAATTAAATTCCAGTAGATAGTGAATCGAAAGTAAAGATAGGGACATGTAAGCCATTTTGATCGATAATGAATAGTTTCGACACAAAAAAATCCTAAAATTGAAAAATCTCGATTTTGAACACCCTATATCTCTGTAATCATTTCTGCTAGACCCCAAGTGTGATACATTGATGCAATCAGCTCTTCAGGTAGAATCTAAAAATGCAATAAAATATAGGGTGTTCCATTTGAAATAACAAAGTTGCTAGTTGTTTCCGATAAAAGTGGCAACACTGTATCGATGAAAATAATTCAGAGAGAGAACGTTCAATTATCAAAGCATCCCAATTTTCAGAATGTTCTGTCTTTTCGTTCTCCAGATACTCCTAATAGGCCATCCACCGTGGATCACCGTGTATACATATACATTTATGAGGAAAAATATGCAAACCACTGGATCTATACAGCAGAAAAAGGATGAGATCCGAGTAAATAAGTTCATTATATCTTTTGATCGCAATAAGTCACTAAAGGTACCTTTTCTGTCGCTATATCTACAGGGAGTCCCAGAATTCAATTTCATCCTTTAGAGTGCTGATGTACAGCTCATGCTTGACTGAACAGAGTACCACAATATGAGTAAAATATTGATAGATTTATAGATATTGGCACTTTTATGAATTAAGAATAGAGTCGTCACTGCAAGCCACTCAGACTCATCATTGAAATAATTTCAGGCTCCTAGTGATATATAGAAAATGTTATGCCACATCAAAAACTACAGTGAAATATGCAGTAAACAGTAAGAGACATGGACACGAATGTCAAAATTGTTTCTTGAATTGACCATTTCTGACGAATTCATTTACATTTCTGGAAATTTTGTCTTCATCAGATCAAACCTCCGAGCAAAATCGACCAATTCGTGAAGATCATTTACTCCGGGTAAAATAGGGTAAAATTTTGAATTTCTCGAGAACCGCGCAATCACAAGAAAATTCAGGTTATTTTTGAACTTGCACAAAGAATAATAGTTACTGGATGTGCACATGTTGAATGTCGTTTTGAAATTTTCAGAAATTTGATAATTTCGGAAGCGCGGTTCTTTCCTACATGTAGCAGCTGAGTATGAAGTATAATTATATAGTACTTTTTCCACCACTAGCTATAAAACATACCATTATCTACTCCTTTTCGAGTCGTAAAGTGTGTTTTTACTATCAAGGTTAGTTATCATCATTTTATATGAACCCCTAGTCTATCGCTAGGGATTTAAAGTACAGGGTGGCCAACTAAGACTCCAGAGTTCGATTCCTCTGTTGTCTTGAGAGATACAGGAAAAATTCATGAATCAAAATTGAAGTAATAACCGAGCTTCACATTTTAAAATTTCTTTGAAATACACAGGGTGTTCCGTAAGGTCACAGCACATCAAAGCTATGTTTTTTTCATGGGAACACCCTATATTATATTTCATTTTTTAATTATCCCTGGAAATCTGATTTCAACGACCCATCATACTTAGGGTCTAGCAGTGAAAGTTACTGACATATAGGGTGTGCAAAATCGAGATTTTCCAAGTTCAGGATTTTTTTCTGTCGAAACTGTTCATTATTCGTCAAAACGGTTTACATGTCCCTATCTCAACTTTTCACTCACTATCAATTGGTGTTCAATTGAAATTGATACAAGGTGGTCAAAAAATCTAAATTTTTAATTTGTTTCTATTAAATGTCAATTGAACACCAATTGATAGTGAGTGAAAAGTTGAGATAGGGACATGTAAGCCGTTTTGACGAATAATGAACAGTTTCGACAAAAAAAAATCCTGAACTTGGAAAATCTCGATTTTGCACACCCTATATGTATGTCAGTAACTTTCACTGCTAGACCCTAAGTATGATGGGTCGTTGAAATCAGATTTCCAGGGATAATTCAAAAATGAAATATAATATAGGGTGTTCCCATGAAAAAAACATTGCTTTGATGTGCTGTGACCTTACGGGACACCCTGTGTATTTCAAAGAAATTTTAAAATGTGAAGCTCGGTTATTACTTCAATTTTGATTCATGAATTTTTCCTGTATCTCTCAAGACAACAGAGAAATCGAACTCTGAAGTCTTAGTTGGCCACCCTGTACATTTTAAATCCCTATAGGCATTCGAAGTACCACTTTTTTTCTCGAAATCTAGATCACCATAGTTACTGATGAGGTCGCTGATATGCAACTGATATGGTAACAATCAGCCCCTTCGATGACGTTTCAGAAATAGAGTACCTATAGCTACCGTGTATAGTGCGGCATTTAGTTTTTTTTTCGTTATTTTTCAACGTTTATCGTATCCTAAAGTGCATACAATAATATATACACCTCAGGACTAAAGTGTTTTTGAATCCTTCGACAAATTATAGCCCTCCCGTTGATCGGGCTATAAAATTCTTGTCTCGGGATTTTGAATACCACTTTTGTCCCTAGGTGTATAATGTACTATTTTCTGTCACAGGCAAGGACGAATCAATATTGAGAAGATATTTACATTATATTAAAATCA